TGGAAAAATGTGTTAAACACGGTAACGCCTTAAAATGAATTAGGAAATTTGGTGAAAGTGGGTTTATGAAATAACTAATATGCAACAAAAAACTCGATCATCTTTTCTTCTTCTCACCACTATTTCTTTGTTTTGTGTTTGTGTTAAGTTTACAATAATTTTTAAACGTCAATGTCGGCGAATGGAATCATATGATCTGCAATGGCCTTCAATATTCTGTTATCCAACTACTATCAAACAATGTCTTCCAACGGTGTTTTCAGCGATTTGATCTTCTACAGACAATGCTTTCCGCCAACAGATATTAAGCATGAAGTGACCTCTCACACATGAACTTTACCGAATCCAAGGATAAGAGATTACTGTCAGCAGTGGTCTCCATGGAAAATAAATCTCCTTTGTGAGTTCGGCCGCTTGATCCACTAACGCAGCATCCATCTGGCATGACTGGAATGTAATCCGATCGCAGGAGATAAAACCTCTAAAATCTCGGAGTATTTTAGAAGTTATGGAATGTAATATAACAGGGCATTCATAGAATTTGGTTGTAATCAAAGACATTATTAATATACTTAACCTCTTTGTTTGTAATTCAATCAGGAAGCGCATGCGTTATTGGATGTATTATTCCGGAAAATAAGTGTAAATCATTGTTTTACAGTGAAATTGTAAATATAAATCATTATATTTAATTGTGTTTCATTTTTTTACTGTGAAATTGTGAAGCTGATTTTTGTGATATTTCCCCATACACAAAAACATCTTGGCTTCACAATTTTACAGAAAAATGAGATAAACTTAAATATAATGATTTTAGTTGTTAAAATCATATGTGCTCGATGGTTTTAATAACTTTACTATGAAGAACTCATTTATTTCGTTGAAAGGACTATTTTTAGGAACTCTATCAGGTTCGAATTTAAATAAGTTTTCGTGTTAGTGAGACCATTATTGAGAAAGGCTACATAACATAAAGCTACAGGTAAAAGGAGCGGACTATAAAAAATGCAACAACGGTAAAGTCATGTATAACGAAATTGTTCCCCATCAAAAGTTCTAAAAAGTTCACTACAGTAGATCTTTTAATGCTGACTTAATTTGATGGTTTTAATGATAATCAAATTTTATATTATTTAAATTATCAGACAAAATGTTTATAGAACCAAATAATTTAATATACCTATTACTAGATATTTTCCTAATCAAAGGGAGTGAAACCGCAGTGCACAGCCGTTTTTTTTCTTTGTCGGTAGATTCATGATTGTAGTACATATAATGAAAAAGTTCCATAATAGTCCCTATAAGTGATTCAACCTTGAAGCTAAATTAGATTCTAGAATCTTAGACTATAAGTAATGTTGTTACTTTTCCATCGCACTAGTTAGCAGCAAGTGTTTTTTTTATTCTATCACATATAGCCATAAACATTTATGGCCCGTGGTCCTACTGGTATTTTTTTGTCCGTAGCTCTATCAGTAGGTCCATGGGCACCTAGAAATTATTTTGTATATTCATTAAATGATCATAAAATATAATGCAGGCTTTAGAAGACACGTTAAGACGTCGATCCCGACTGCATCTGCATCAATCCATACAGAACCTACGTGTTTTGGATCTTAGGATAAACTCCCTATTCCATCCCGAGGGAAGCCTGCAGCGGAAACGTTAATCGGTTTATATAACGATGATATTTTTTTTAAAAGTAGGTCCGACAAATGACTCCTCCAACCTGATGTTATACACCAGTGTTACCTGCCACACCACCCATTCTCACCTTACCGGCCTGCATATTGCTTCTTCACGCCTCTTTTATAAGATCGCGGGTTGTGGAAGAAAAGAGATCACATGAGCGGGGAAATAAATTGCGGTTAATGTGACAAAGAAATGAGATACCTACCAAATTTATTTTTTGCGTTAGAATTGTGGCCACGATCATTCGGTGACAACTAGGTCAGCGCGTGTGGTCCTCTAAAGATAGAAGAATAATGATGATGATGATATAGAACACAAATACGCAAACGTGAAGTGCTAAAAACTTTGCGTATTGTCATAGAGGTATTTTCAAGGCAACGGACGTATCGTTTCGGTTGATTTTAATCGACAAATGCGGTTTGCCGCGCAAAAGCTTCGTATCGATTCCTAGAACAATTAACTAGTCTTTATGAGTCTTAAACGCTTCCAACGTTTCTGATCAATCATAGCTGTTTCCAATACCGATGCTATGTTTACTACGAGTCATTGTGATATGAATTTTAAAACACGTTTAAATTTAAATTTCAGTGCACATAAAAAAATATTAAGAGGTTTCCATTCATTCAGGGTGTTAAACGATTACCTCTGCGTTTTCACCCTGGCTGACGTTGTTATTATTATTTTATTGTAGTAAATTTTTATACATCGTCAAATTTTGTATTGAAAAACATAGGTAGGAAGTTACTAAAATAAAATTAAGGTACAAAAACCTTTTTAAAAACAAGCTTTTATTCAAATGCGCTATAATGAAAAAAAAGAAAATTTAGTTAAAGTTTGTTTCTAAATAGATTTTCAAATTTTAGAAGTCCGCCATATTGGATTGAGAGTGACGTCAAATTTTTTTCGAGTTACACTCAGCAAGCCCTTTAATTTGATACCCATATTGTAGGAATGCATTAAAAATGATTGGTCCGCCATTTTGGGTATGCCGCCATATTGGATTTAGAATGACGTCACACTGTTAAGCATGCATTGTCATCCGAACTGAACGAGCATACCAAATTTCAGCTTAATCGGTTGAGGGCAAGTGCTTTAAAATTGAGTTGTAAGATTTGACCGTAACAAACATACATAGCAAGTTAAATAAAAGCTTGTAAAAATACAACGTGGTCATATGCTTATATCTGATCTTTAAGAGAGAATGAAGTGTAATTACGAAGATAGCTGATGCGACAGAAATGTGTGCCATTCCGGATATCTAAGACCTGAACCTGGATATACCTGAATGTAAACAGTACGAACAGTACCAATTGGAGCACAGTAAAATAACACTGCCTTCTGGCGGTGTTGTGTTTCTGCTAGTGAGTATGGTTGCAGAGCTCCGCGGGGTAGGGGATTGGTTTCAGGCCAATAAGGCGAGAATGGCTGGAGTGGTACACTCTCTGCCGCATCATCCATCTTTGCAACTGGACTCCACTCACAATGAACATCAGGTGGGGTGGGATCTTTGTTGCGTCTTCTATAAAAAGAACTTTACCTATTTATTAACAGCAACATAACTCTACCATCGGGTAGTGTTATTTTACTGTAATGTGGAGGATGCATACTTCGACCGACAGATAGCCGCTCCTATCAAGTGGAAATTCGCCATGCCTACTTCTTTTTTTTGATTTGATGTGATTTTTTGCCACCCTTTTTACAAAAAAAAAATGAAGTTGTTGATAAAGTTTTTTAATCCAATGAGTTTAGATCTTGAGGTTAGATGTTACCTTAAGTTTCAGTTCTAACAAAAGCTCCAGTGTTGGAGTGTGCTAGATCAGAATCAATAGTAAGACTGATGACATTGTTCTTGAAAGATTTTTAGCTTTTACTATGTTGTATTGTCTTCTGGTCCTCAGGGTAACCTTTTCCAGGTTCACATTATCATGTACGAAAATGTAAAGTGGTTCCAATAAATTATTATTATTATTTTGGTTTTTTTTTCTCAGCTTGAGGCTGGTTTTAAACAATCTGTACGGGCTGTGCCAAGTATCAGATTGAATCTATAGTTTATTTCTCACTTAAAAACTTTCTAACTATTCTACAACTATTTAAGATCGCTGCTTTTTGCATTGTGATGTATGTCTTTTTTGGGAGATCTAACGTTTTTAGACTAATGTGTAGTTGATTTGGTATAATTCCTGTGCTCGTAAGTACCAGAGGAACGATGTATACTTTCTGGAGTTTCCATATCCTAAGAATTTCTTGTTTGAGTTCAGTGTATTTATGTTTTTTTTCCGAAATAGATTTTTGCAAATTGTGTGTAGCAGGAACGGCAATATCTATTAAATATGCTATTTTATTAGTTTTATCCACAAAAGTAATGTCAGGTCTGTTAAAGTGTATGGTTTTATTTGTAAGAATAGCTCGGTCAAAGGTTTTGGTGTGTATTTGTAGTATGGCATTATACTATCAAGGATCAAATTGTATTTAAAAGCTAATTTCTGGTGTATGTAGTAAGCTACCTGATTATGTCGATGAGTGTAATCATTCTGTGCTAGTGTTGAGCAAGCATTCAGAATGTGCTGGATAGTTTCCGGTTGTGTATGACATTTGCGGCATCGGTCATTTATCATATTCTGTTCATTTAATATATGTTTTTTATAATTCTTGGTTTTAATCACTTGGTCTTGAATTGCTATTAAAAATCTTTCTGTTTCTGGGAATAAATAGCCTAACTTGAGCCACTTGTTACTGGCGTCACGATCGTTTTGTACTGATTCTAAATCTTTTATGTGCCTTCCATGTAGTGATTTCTGGCGCCAACTATCGAGCTTTTCCTGTGTTACTACCTGTGATGATTTGAAGGTTCTGTGATGGCGTTGAAGGTAGAGTGGTGTTAAGTTGTCGTCGGATTCTACCGTCGCTGCGTGTATTGGACTATTACTTGACTTCTTGTAGAAAAAAAATCTTAAGCTTTGTATCGCAGAATCCCATAATATATTCAGGTCAATTAAACCCTGACCCCCTAATTCTCTTTTAGTATTTATTCTCTCAATTGCGGAATTTGGATGTAAATAGTTGTATTTTGTCAGTATTGTCCTAGTTTTAATCTGTAAATTATTTATATATGTATGACTCCATTTTATAACTCCAAATGAGTAAGTGAGGACGGGCACCGCGTACGTGTTGATGGCTTTAAATAATTTTTTCGAATTTAGCTTTTTCCTACACAATAAATTAATTATTTATTATTATTATTATTACTATTTAAAAGTAAAAAATACTGTTGTATTTATTTATATAATATGCTGTCTTCTTGTTTTCAGGACCCAAATGGTATCCTTTCTTCGGGTGCAGTAGTTTAGTTGCTAGCATGACCAAAAAACATGGTTCACAATGGAAAGGTTTATCGACTTTAGCCAAGGAGTACTCCACCGAAGTGTTGGGGTTGAAGTTGGGGAATGAGATAGTTGTGGTGGTCTACGGTGAGAAGAATATCAGACAAGCGTTCACAGGCAAAGAGTTTGAGGGACGACCCGACAGTTTCTTCGTTAAGTTGCGTTGCCTGGGGAAAAGAATAGGTGAGATATTTTTCGTTCGCATGTCACGTTACATTTTTCATTGTTATTAAAGAAAATCAGACCATATCAACAAGCATCGGTTGGTTCAGTGATAGAAAGTTGGACTCCAGCGCGGGCGGCTCGTGTTCGAATCCCAGCTGAGCAAAGACTTTTATAATAATGATTTTAAAAGTTTCATCGATTGCATCATGGCATCATAAAAACACATTTTAATTAACTTAAATTAATTTTATATAAACCCTAATAATTTTAGAAAGATTGAATCAAATTAGATAAATCTTTTCTTATGTTCTTGATTGTCACAATAAGGCTCGCATGAAAGATTTTTTGGGAATCCTCTGGAAACTAAAAAAAATCGGAAATCTAGATGGTGTTATTTCATTGCGACCTTCGTGGCCGAGTGGATTGTACGCTGTACGGGTTGTACGGGTTCGACTCCTGGTGGGGGCAGATGTTTGTGTGATGAATACGAGTATTTGTACTCCAGTCATGGATGTTTCATATGTATTTCTATATAAATATACTTTTAAATGTACATTATATGTATTCTATCCGTTACCATAGCATCTCATAACACAAGCCGTACAGTGCTTACTTTGGGGCTAGGCTAATTAGTGTATGTTGGAAATATTTATTTATTTATTTCTCAAATTCTCATATAATTGTACACCGTGCGAAATCGCTTGTCTTTTATAGTTGTCCAAAAGCAGTTTTCACTTGTTTTGAGTTCTTGTGATTGGGCTTGCTAATGCAGACAGGAGATTAGTGCATGTAAAAGAAGACGAAAAATATTTGGCTAGTAGAACACGGAATATTAATGGAGTACTGTATAATGACCGCTCACCATACGCTTTGCTCCGGCTTTACTATACCTTATGCTCCTATACTATACTTATTAAATTACAAAACTAAAGTAATGTAAAGTTTACTAGAAAAAAATCCACTCGGACCAGGCAGCGGACGGGACTCGAACCCGCATCCTTCGCTATCCGGGCGAATGCACTGACCATTATGCTACCACGGCCCTATTAGCCGCGTCGAATAAACGACGTCGAATAATCGTCGAATAAACGCCGAATTTTTTCTAGTAAACTTTTCTTTAGATTTAAACATCTAGCAGTTAAATGCTTAAAAAAATAAATAAAATCTAAAGTAATGTAGGTTCGATGTTTAAAGGCAGTTAATAACAAACATTTATTACTTTGTACTACTTATGTTCTGGATACTTAATAATAATATTAACAATATAAAAATATAATTAAGGAAGTTAGACTTTTCTTGAACTCTTATTTGGGTCAATTTGTGAAAGTATATTTTCCCAGAAGTCTACTGAAATGTTTTAACAGTCTATTAACTTGTAATAAGTCGCAATTTGATAAGCAAATAACGAATTGGTTCAACGTAATGGGTAATATAAAAATTAAGAACTTCGTTTTTGTACCATCATCATCATAAGTATGTATATTTTTAAAACTTAGTTTGAACCTTATTATCACAAAAAGAAGTTTATTTATTTAGCACGAGATTGAGAAAAAAATCTGTAACAAAATTTGCTTAGACAAGGTTTAAAACATTGCATTGTAGTCGGCTGAAGATAACGTGTACAGGTATGTATGTACAATGCGCCCATTTGGTAAAATTAGCCATTATATTGGACGCCTAAGCCATTCATCAAACAAAAGCATCCAATGGTGAAAGATAACAAGACAAGCCATAGAGAAATGTTTTGCTGTGTGGGTTTTATGAAACCACGATGCAAGAAAAACTTTTAAAATCATAGATAAATAAAGTCCCTCTTCGGCTGGGATTCGAGCCCAAGCTGCCCGCATAGTAGGCTAGATTTCTACTCCTTGACCACCGATCCTTGTGAATAAGGTCTGCAATTTTAATAACAATTAAAATGTAATGCTACATTTGCGACGACCTCCGTGGCCGAGTGGTTCGTACGCCATGTTTCATGGTGTCGCCGACTCGAGAGGTCCTGGGTTCGAATCCCGGTGGGGGAGGATTTTTGTGTGATGAATACGAGCATTTGTACTCCAGTCATGGATGTTTGATATGTATTTCTATAAAAATATACTTATATATGTACAGTATATATGTATTCTATCCGTTACCCTAGTATCGTACTTTGCGGCTAGACTAATTGGTGTGAGTGTTTAAAATATTTATTTATTTATTTTTATTATCCTAAAGATAAACAACATAAATTGTGGCGATTTAATAAAAGTTTCACTTTTAAAACCTGAACCTATCTTGGCCGTGTCTTGGCCACTCATTAGTGGCTGTAAATCACTAAGCAGGCCCAGCGCGGATTTGGGGCTGCTAATGACTGCACATGGAAACAAAACCAACAGCTTTTCGTGCTTTTCGAAGCACGGAAGCACTCGAGATAATAGGTTTTTGGTAACTCACCATTTAACAAGTCATTGCGAAGATTTCTTTACTGCCACGCAGACCGAACGCACTAACGCGCCATCGAGCTACTCCAATATACTGTAATTAAATATGGATATTTATTTACCGACTATAATAAATGGAAAATTAAATAACAAAAACTTAAAAACTGAGGTGACTGGTGATGAAAAGGCTGGCAGCCTTTGGCCAACATTTCTGACTGCGGCGCTGGGGGTGAAATATTTTTTATTTTGTAAATTATATATTATTCGTAAGTAGGTGGAGGTAATTTGGATTTAAATTTAAGACATTATGTAGTTATATATGTTATGTTTAAATAAATGTAACTAATGCTTTTAGGGATCACTTTTGCTGACGGTCCGTTATGGCGCGAGCATCGAAATTTTACAGTGAAGCAGCTTAGAAACATTGGTTTCGGCAAAACTGCAATGGGAAATGATATACAATGCGTTCTCGCAAACATTATTGATTACATCGGTAGAAACAATGACAAACCAATAAACCCAACGAGTATAATGCCGACGGCAGTTATGAATGTGATATGGAAATATGTCGCAGGTAATCCAATTTCGCTCTCATTTGTATTGTTAGTATTACCTATTTTGTTACTATTTTATGATGTAGATTTATTTGTCGCATTCATTTTTTTATGTTGGATAAAAGAATCCGTGAGATGGTTAATTTCATAAATGAAAACGCTGTGCTTTATAATAGCCATAAATGGTGCTGACACAATTCTCTGTGAGTGCGTAACTTTAAGTTGAAGTACTATTAAGGTTCATTCAGTGTGTGCTGTTTTAATAACAAATATTAATATAGAAAGCAAAACCTCTAGATTTATACATTGGAAAATATTTTTTATTTTATTTGTTTATTTATTACTTTATTACTAGTGGCCTGCCCTCGCTTCGCTTCGGTGTGGAGCTGTAGTGTAGACTATAGTTTTTATTCTCAGGCTTGTATTATACACAATAATTTCCTTCATAAAATTAGAAAGTTTCTGTGAATATTTATTATACTTTTAGTGAAAATTTTGTTGCGCAGTTTAGGACCCGTTGTACAGAGCACCATGATTGCTCTACTGTTAAAATAAGTTTATTACCATCGGTCCACGTCCTTATTATTAAAAGTATCTAGTTACATAGTGGTTTGTACACATCCATCATTTTTATCAATCACTAGTGGCCCGCCCTCGCTTCGCTTCGGTGTTGAGCTGTAGTGTAGACTAAAATGACTCTTCATATGATTATAAAAAAAAACTGAAAATGATATATTTGCCTTTTCTAAACTTCTAATGACATCGCGTCACTCAATTGTTTTGCCTTCCCGGAATCTCTCCACTAACATTTGAAATTTATGGTATGGTATTAAAGTTCAAATTAACTCAAGTATTTTTACGAATCGTTTATTCTCCCAATAGAAAAGTGCTGTTTCAGGATTTTTTCAGGCAATTTTTTTTAAATTTTCTCTGCCTAAGAACCATCCTCGTACTTCAAGGAATGTTCTAAAAAAAGAATTATCGAAATCGGTTCAGCTGTTCTCGAGATTTGCGCTTACCAACACATTCAGCGATCCATTTTTGTATTATAGATAATTACTAGCTGACCCAGCGAACTTCGTACCGCCCTAAAAAATAGGGGTTGTCCAGCGGACAAAATTGTGAATCTAAACCATTCTCAGATCCCCTTGAACACACACAAAAAATTTCATCAAAATCGGTCCAGTCGTTTAAGAGAAGTTCAGTGACATACACACTCACAGAAGAATTATATATATAAAGATTGCACTCATGAGAACTTTTGAATGGTATGAAACTTGGAAATGGTCTAATCCAAAAAGTAATTTGAAAAATTTCATTCAAAACTGTATCAGGTACCTGCCTGGCATAGTCTTGAATAGGAAGTGATTTATTTGGATAAGAACTAATTTGATAGTGCATTCTTTAAGGAAGGCTATAGGCTATATAATATCATACTAAGACCAGTAAGTGTGGAGCATCGATGAAAAATGTTGCAAAAAACGGGTTGAAATGTTCCATTTGTGAGCTACCGTTGTGTGCGCTGGCTAATCGGTTAAATTTACACAAAAACCAAGTATGACGAAATTATTTCCCTTTAAAAGTTATATAAAAAGTCCGCAACAGCATATGCCCATTTTTTCAGTTTGACTCACTATAACCTTTTTCCCGAAATTAACGCGGGTGAAACCGCAGGACATCTAGTTCTGACATAACTATAATAGTCAGACCATAGATAAATTATTGGTACGACACCAATCATTTATATGACTATGAGTCAGACATATGGTTTTTGTGAACTTTTTTATAGAAATTGGTATCCTCTATAAAACTTGATTACATAACTTTGCTCTATTGTCAATAACTTCCGCAGCTTACGCGATATAAAGTATTTATTGGTATTTTTGTCACACGTTGGGTTATACTATCGAAGTTAAACGAAACGTTATTTATTTTTGAAAATATCTATAGCCTATGTTCATCAGGGATAATATAGGATTCTAAATGTGAAAGAATTTTTCAAATCGTTTTAGTAGTTTCGGCGCCTATTCAATACAAACAAACACTCAAATCTTTCCTCTTTATGATATTTGTATAGATATTCTACTTGGAATGAAACATTACCTATCAAAAAGAAAACTTGTACTTTAACGAATTGAATTTTGTTAGTTTAATTTATGTAAAGTTCAACTCATCATCATCACCAGTCTATTAATGTCACACTGCTGGGGCACAAGCCTTCCCTATGGATAGAATAGGGAGATTGGACCGTGATTGATCCAATGACTGACCATTGCAAAAATTGCTGATTTTTTCACGATCGCAAACCGGACACACTAACCACCTGCGCTATCAAGTTCAAGTCACTTCTACACAATTCTGAATTGTTTAACTGCAACATTAGGTAGGTAGAAGCATAACTGGCCACTGTTTAAATTCTCTCGGAATTTGATATTGGATTTGACAACTTTTTTTTTTGCGAAATTAAATTATTATTAATTTTACAAGTATACAAAAACAACTTTTTTCGCCAAACTGAAAATTCAGTTTGTTGGCGAATTATACGCTCTTTATATATAGAATATAAAATTATTATACCACATAATATAAAATACAAAAAAAATCTGCTGCTTAAACGGCTAAACAGATGAAAATTTGGCACACAGATAAACCATTGTCTGGTTAAAAGTACTCTTAATCAAAGTTCTTTATAAGAAAATTATCCAAAATAACTTTTTTTAATTTTATTTTAAATATATGTTTACTATCGACGGTGTACCTTCCAGGAGAGCAGATAAACGAGGAGCGTTTGGCTTTCCTTCTGGATCTACTGCGCGCCCGCTCCAAAGCATTCGCGATGGCAGGCGGCTGGCTCAACCAGGCTCCTTGGTGCCGATACCTTTTCCCCGAACTGAGCGGCTATTCGCTCCTCAGACGAATGAACCAGCAAATATCGGAAATCATAGAAGTGAGTACCTACCTATATTCATAACAATATTTACTAAGGGCCACTTGCGCCAAAATTCTCATTCCATATTAAGTTTTTGAACTCAAAAAGAGATAGAATGAGGCACAAACATGATTAGCTTTTAGAATTAACAACTTTAGTGCAAGTAGGCATAAGTTTTGTAGGTATTGATTCAAAGCTAAGTTTTTAAATTGAATTCATGTTAATAAGTTGTCAATCTCTATATATATAAAACTCAAAGGTGACTGACTGATAGTGATCTATCAACGCACAGCCCAAACCACTGGACGGATCGGGCTGAAATTTGGCATGCAGGTAGATGTTATGACGTAGGCTTCCACTAAGAAAGGATTTTGATCAATTCTACCCCCAAGGGGATAAAATAGGAAATGAAAGTTTGTATGAAACTTTGTCAATTTTAAACCGATCGGGCTGAGACTTTGCATGCAGGAATAAGAAGAATCATAGATGAATGTCATAGTGTAAAATACAAGCCTGAGAACAAAAACTGTAGTCTACACTTCAGCTCTACACCGAAGCGAAGCGAGGGCGGGCCCGCAGTTGTGTATAAAAATGACACGTATTGCGACTTAATAGCGAATGGGGGCAAATATGTTCATTATCAATTGTGAGTTTAGGTACTTTGTTGCCAGTAATCTCAACAATTATAATAAACAAATTATTTGTTATTATTCTTGTCGAATGTAAGTACTGGAAAGTCAAATAAAACTATATTATTATTATTGACGACAAAACAATCAATTAACAACTTCATTCTCCAACTCCTATAATACGTTTTAAATTCTCTCAAACTTTGCCATCTACAAATCTTGCAAACTTGTAACAATTGTATTGACGATCTCCAGCGATTGTTTAATTTTGCGCCGACTGTATAAATATTTGATGCTAACGTTTATTTTAATTATAAAAAGCCTAATCTAATTATTAATTAAAAAGTATCGTAGCAGTCTTTTAAAAGCAATTTAATTACTTAAGCGAAAACTTCTGGATTATATTATGTTTGCATAACCGATTAGAAACACTGGAATAGATACTATTAAGGAATAACCTACTCCCTGGAGCCCTGGAACTTTACTCATCTAATTACAACAGAAAAACAAACTTCTATGGCAGGGGTGGGGTGATTAGATCCAAGATCTACTGTTAACTGTCGAAACACTGTGCGATCTACGAATTACAATCATATTGAAATCTTATTTATGTAGTATTTTGTTAAGAGGGCAAACATAAAATTGAATATTAGCTTTAAGTATCTTTATATTACTGTGAGCATTGTGATTGACTATTAGATTAGCAAAATCAGTTTTTTTTTGTTGGAAGTAGCTAACCTTATAGAACCCAAAATGAGCGTCTGTCTAGCGAGAACGGTGTTTATTTTTTGTTCGTAAGTAGAAAAAACATAAATGCTGACTCACCTATATATGTTGAACCAAAACACGAAATGAGATGTGTAGAGAACTGCCTCAACACATCTCTTAAAATTTAGCTATTTCTCGTTGAAAACTAATGCCCAGAAATCTAGATATGAGGATGACTTGCTTTTGGAAATATGTCCCAGCGCAGTGTCATTATTTCATGTGGTCCATTTGAAATGTATCTGTAGATTTTGTAGCTGTTTCATAGATATCACTATAGAAGAGAGGATAGAGAAGCTGCGTTCAGCAGTTGATGGTTACGATGCACAGACTGTTCTACTTATTAATATTTTTTGCTTTCCGCGATCGAATGAACTAATAGACACGATCGGCCGGTAGATCGCGATCCCCTGTGCTATAGTGAGTAAGGTTGCTAGAGCTATAAAATACCGATGGAGGTCGGTTTGGATGGACAGCAGCACATTCAACATCAGGTACCTCCCTATTTTATCCTATTTACACTTACTAACGGGTGGGGAAGTATTAGTTACAGCAAAATGGTCTCTTTGTTAATAGGCAGCGAAAGAAGTGTTACTACATCGGTAATTGATTGTAAATTGAGCTGCATCGATTAATTTAGAATAATATAGATTATTTGCGTTGTTATAAACAATAATGTATGTAAATTGATATTAAAATAAGCATTCCAATGTCCCATTTTCGGGGGTCTTCCAAGAAATAAGACTGGCAATAACTCCATGCAGGCACTTTCCGGATTGGTAGGGTGCTAACGACTGTAAATCTCGGAATCAACCGCGTCACGTACCTTCCGAAGTAGGGAAGATAAAGTAAAAGGAGCTCAGGATAATAATTCATAGTCACCAAACCAATATCAGCAAACTAAAAGCTTATACTGACATCTCCTTCGCTTTTAAATAAATAAGTTTTTTTGCAATATATTAAATTAACCGATCTCATCTGTCTGTCTTACCGATAATAAGCTTACTCACGATGGAAATATTTCAGCGTAGTTGTTACCATGACGGGGGAGTATCAAGCGATTTGAATTCTCGCATAATATCTCGATAGTAAATAATATTTTATATTCAATACAACATTTTGCCGAACTAAAAGAATCTTGATTCCGAGATGTCTGAACAGCTTTAGATAGGTACCAACGTGAAAAATAAAACGGAATTCGTTTTGAGTTTTTGCAGCCGTGTTGCGGAGATTCAAGCTTTTGAAGCGAGAATACTATATTTCCTTTGACGGAGTTTTGCCACGTCTTTTATCGATATTCTCCCGATCCACAACTGTAACAGAAACTTGTTAAATGATTCCCAGTAACAGTTACTGTGTAACATTAAGAATCGATTCTCCGAAATATAGCGAGCGTGTTTATTCTAATTGGTAGATATAAGTTATTTTAATTCGTATTCTCAGACCAAATAAAAAGTAAAGACGGAGTCTGCCGAACAAAAAAGTGAAGCCGGTTTTTTATGTATGTAGTGCATTAGCCAGTGTTACCATAGTCATTTATAATACCCCAATATTAGAAAACAGTAATAACGTTATTTCATAGCGTTATTAATAACGGTATAAAATATTAGAAAAAACTATCGTAGGTTGATTCTCTAAACTAGTCCAGATTAGTTTTACACTAGCGCTAGATCCAACCTCTCGTGAGCCAAAAGTCCTGCGCTTGGAGATCTGGGGTTCCTGTGATTTATAAGTTTAATAACTGTTACACTAATAAAAGTTTAATTAAAAAATAATATATAATAAAAACAAAGCTTAACCTTTGGAGTTTTTGGCGGGATTTCATGGAGTGCGATTAGCGTCATATTTTAATTATTCTTTAATTCGTTCATAGTGAATATTGTGAAATAAAATTAGTGTAATTTTGTGTTTCAACCGTCTGCACGACTGAAGAATTATTGGAATCTTTAAAATATAAATTAACCTAAGTAACTATATTAAGTTAAGTAAAAAAATACCCTTGGATATGCATTTTATTTTACACGACGTAACCCTTTTGTTGTGTAGTACAAATCGTCGCTCTGAAAATGAGACGAACAAACCACGCTGCGGGAAGCTGGTTGCCACGATGGTTCATATCTACTCTTACGAATGACTGCAATCCACTTCTCTATTAGATTTTGATCTCGATTAGGACATCGTAAAAAAAACGTATAATATATAATGTGTATTACATCTCAAAAAAATTAGACAAATACATAAAGAAAAAAGATAATAAAGATGTTTCGTGTAATTGTTTATCCATGCATTACAATATTCGAATAATATAAAAGTATGCTACACAATGTGTTTAGTAAAATAACGTTACGTTATATTTCACGCTACCCAACAAAAGGGTAAAACTGTAACGTATAATCATGGCAGCATTTCGTTCAGGTTTTCAGGAGGACAACCGCAAATTTGATTTTGATTAATTGCAAATATTAGTTTATAACTTTACTTATGTATGAAATGTGATTCCATCCTGTTTTTTATTCTTGGAAGATTGGTTTCTACACGTTTTCATTACACAATTCGGCATTTTCTCTAATAAATATTGTTTTTTATTATCACGTCACACTCCGCGCGCCGGGATAGCTCGACTGGGAAGCCAAGGCGTAGTTTCGTTGCATGTGTGTGCGTGTAACTGTGTATGTACACGGCGAGGCGTAGTTTTATCGGCTTCACTTTTTTGTTCGGCAGACTCCGTCTTTACTTTTTATTTGGTCTGAGTTCGTATTTATAAGTAAATCTTAAAATCGAGTAAATGCTTTGAGACTTAGTTGCAATTATCTCGAAGGATTACCGAGAACTTTCCAGTTAACTGTAATGGTTTTGGTCGATGTTGTCAGTATTTTTAAAAATAGGCCACATGCCGGCGACTCCACACAACAACATAAACATAACATTGGTAAAGTGATTTCTGGAAACAAAAAGTTAATTCATCATCTACTCTACTTTGTTCCGTAACTATCCCTTGACGTCTCATCCCATATTTTACTCAACCGAAACTGGTATTCCTAACTCAACCTATTACATTATTAGTATATTTTCTTAATTCAACGCAATTGTGTTCCTTACCCATCCAAGGCAAATATTACTAAAATGGTATGGCAAAATAATGATTAATTATCTATGAACTTGATGTAAAATGGTAACTTATCTTCAGTTTGTTTTTATTCCTAGTATTAAAAGTATGTACTTACGTCCCTTTACACAAAAGGTATACAATAAAATTGTAGATGAATTGCGAATGTCAATATCCCGATTTCTTTAAATTTTTCTCTGAGAGGTTGACTTGAGCTGTTGAAAAATAGCTCATATAGCACGTTGTAAAAAATAAATATCGTTTCGATATCTGCTGCTGTTCCCCAGAGAATAATAATAATAATACAGTCCTGGCAGTATTTACATCAGAAATTTATCTTATTATTCGTATGGCATAAGCCATTTACCAGCTAAAACTAAAATATGAGGATTCCACTGTAATTTTGAGTCTACAGTTAAACCTAAAAATAATGTTGATTCCACTAAATCTTCCTTTTCATAATTAATTTCGACTGGTTCTTTTCTATTATTTGGCAAAGAGAATTATATGCATTTAGT